TGTACAGCCCACATGCGAAATGCGTTCATGACAAGTATGGTTTTTTGTTTGTTTGTTTGGGAAGCCCAGTGTAGCCTTACCGTTGTTCAATGGACCGGGGTCATACGTGAGAGCAATGCAAAGATAAAGTACAAATGAGTTGCAGTACCTCTCTATGTAAAGAGACGTGGGTTCCATACGCGGTGATGAGATTTTGACAAACACGACGGACACAACGCACTGTCTACATGTGCGGACCGGTGCCTTTGTGCGCAGCTGGCTATGTTGTTATACGGCGACACAACAAACATGTTCCACCAGTTACAACAACAACAAAACAGTCGCAGATGTTCACTTCGATGACAATGGACAACGATTCAAGGCAGTGTTTCGCCGTGAATATATAAGCCATTAATACTCTCACAGGATAACTACTGTATCTGGTTCTGCCGTAACGGATGTAACGTGTTCCTTACGATAATAGAACGCTTCCGTGGGTTGCAATGTATGTTAATCAGCTGACGTGAAATTCAAGTGTCACTTAATTCCTTACACCCTAATGGAACCAGATTACGATGAGAATTACTCATCTTGCAGTCGTCATCGACACAACCTCCTGTACCCTTGCTTTGTTAAAGGTTGTCTAACTCTTAAAAGTGGTATAATAAAGCACTGCAACAAAGTACAAACACACACCAGAACTACAGCATCACAACGAGAAACATTAATAATAATAATACAATGGTAACATTGTCATTACAATAGATTCAATTGACGATATCCCATAATCTTCTTTACAAAAAATGCCCAGAAAATACCTTAGGCCCTTGCAAACGGGGGAAATACTGAAGAACAATACGGTGTTACTTAGTACTGTACAGCCTTAACGTCGGTGAAACCAGGAGGTCAAAATATGGTTTTCAATTACATGTAAACAGAGATTAAAAAAAAAGATTTCACTAAAAATACCTCGTTTCAAAGTGTGGTAAACGATGTTAAACAGCTGACATTCGGGTGCATCTCGACCAGTCTCTGACAAATCTCTAACTTATCGCCTGGCATCAGCATCATCTCCATCGCAAGTCTTATTTTCGATTTAATAAAATACAGTACTGTTAACGACAGTATCTGATGCGTGGCATGAATCACACATTAATTCGAAGAAACCCATGACTGAATGGAGAGACAAGTTAGGAAAGTTAAACCACAAGTTCTGACTCGCTATCAGAGTTGACGAAAACCACTGCCAAATAAGTCCATGATGTGCCTTGCCATCAGACGCCATGGTGGCGAGATGTTGACGACCTCGCCTGATGTTCAGGAGGTCGCGAGTTAAAGCCCGACCCGATAAATTTGAAGTTTGCGTGTCTCTCTGCCCGTGGTCGTGTGGATTTTTCTCCGGGTCCTCCAGAGGTTCTCCCTCCACATTTCGATTACTTGGCTGCTATAAATTCCCACATGATAAGCCACTTCGTGGCCACGTCGCTTCTGAAAAAAAGAGCTATATAGCCCAGTGGGCCTTACCAAGAATCATAAGTTTAGTTTATTTTTACAGACACATCGACGAGTTCCTGCCCAGGCCTTCCGATCTTCCAGGTGACAGATCAATCACTGATTGATTGTTGCTCTCGGATGTCAATAATCCTCTGTTCCACCCCTTTATTATTATCCTGAAATCCAAACAACACGATGAGAAACCCGCAGGTGCCGCCTCTACAATAGACGGGGAGGACACGGTCATCAAGATGTATCGTCTGGAAATCCAAAGGCGATCTAAATACAACCATCCTTGCCCAAACTCTGTCCATCGTGTCCACACCCATCCTCTCTGAATGTGCGCTTAATCTCCATCGAAACCACCCAGCACAGGGAGTGGCGGCCTTCACGCCGACCTGACCCCGGGCTCAACCGTGTTCAAGTACCCATCACACACAAGATGACAACAAAGATCAACGCGGTGTAGCCTTCACAGGCTGTTGGGGAAAGTGTTGTTAGCGAGCACCACCTATGGGGGTGGGTGGCCAGCACCACGCCCGGCCACCTCTGTCTCCAAAGTGCTGATGTTTCCACACTGCACCAGGCACTCATTTAAAGCTGAGTCTACCTAGGGGCGGCCCATGACACGTTTAGATAATCGTCGACGACGTGGACCGTGAACGGGAATCGAAATCGGGTCCGCTGGGTTCGTAGCGCCGTGCGCTTACCACTGCACCACCGCTCCCCATCACCTAACAACAAGCTCACCCCGACACCATCTCATCTCATCCACCCACCGCGTTCACCCACTCACCCTGTCACCCTCACACATTAAGACCAAACCAAACCAGCAAGGGCAACCGGTCACCCTTGCCGCGGACAACGGCACGCGCAAGGCACCCACCACCACCAACCACCCTTGTAGAAGATCTGTTGTGAAATTTCGATGTAAACCTTTCGTGACTGCAGGGATTCATATTCTTGGTTCTTTCTGTTGTAACCCATCACTCCCTGGGTACCCAGTGGGGCTGGCAATGTCTCTGGGTGTCCTCGCTCGCACAGGGTCCGGGTCCTCTCCCCTCCGTCTATCGCTGAACCTCGTCTCCCCTCTCACGGCACGTCCCAACTCCATTCCCTGTCGTATCTATAGCCTCGAGTTTCTTCCCTCTGCCCCACGGTCTTCACTCCTCCTCTCTTCTCCCTCTCACTTCTCCCTCTTGACTGAATACACTCTCCCATGTATCCCTGAGGTCTCCCATCTTCCACGTCTACCCAGATCCCTTCGGATCTCCGTGAACCCCGTCATTACAGATCTCCCTGCGTCTCCTTGTCTCCCTGTCTCCGTGTCCCCGTGGTCCCAGGTCTTCCCGTGTCACACCCAGGTCTCCCCGTGTGGCTCAGGTCTCCCCGTGTCTCCTCCCCGTGTCAACCCCAAGTCTCCCCGTGTCAACCCCAGGTCTCCCCGTGTCAACCCCAGGTCTCCCCGTGTCAACCCCAGGTCTCCCCGTGTGTCTCAGGTCTCCCCGTGTCTCCTCCCCGTGTCAACCCCAGGTCTCCCCGTGTCAACCCCAGGTCTCCCCGTGTCAACCCCAGGTCTCCCCGTGTCAACCCCAGGTCTCCCCGTGTTGGCCCCGTGTCATCCCCAGCTCTCCCCGTGTCATCCCCAGCTCTCCCCGTGTCATCCCCAGCTCTCCCCGTGTCATCCCCAGCTCTCCCCGTGTCATCCCCAGCTCTCCCCGTGTCATCCCCCGCTCTCTCCGTGTCACTCTCAGCTCTCCCCGTGTCACTCCCAACTCTCCCCGTGTCACTCCCAGCTCTCCCCGCGTCACTCCCAGCTCTCCCCGCGTCACCCCCAGCTCTCCCCGCGTCACCCCCAGCTCTCCCCGCGTCACCCCCAGCTCTCCCCGTGTACCCCAGCTCTCCCCGTGTCATTCCCAGCTCTCCCCGTGTCATTCCCAGCTCTCCCCGTGTCATTCCCAGCTCTCCCCGTGTCACCCAGCTCTCCCCGTGTCTCCCAGCTCTCCCGTGTCTCCCAGCTCTCCCCGTGTCTCCCAGCTCTCCCCGTGTCTCCCAGCTCTCCCCGTGTCACCCAGCTCTCCCCGTGTCACCCAGCTCTCCCCGTGTCATTCCCAGCTCTCCCGTGTCTCCCAGCTCTCCCGTGTCTCCCAGCTCTCCCGTGTCTCCCAGCTCTCCCGTGTCCCCTCCCCAGCTCTCCCCGTGTCCCCTCCCCAGCTCTCCCCGTGTCCCCTCCCCAGCTCTCCCCGTGTCCCCTCCCCAGCTCTCCCCGTGTCCCCTCCCCAGCTCTCCCCGTGTCCCCTCCCCAGCTCTCCCCGTGTCCCCTCCCCAGCTCTCCCCGTGTCATCCCCAGCTCTCCCCGTGTCATCCCCCGCTCTCTCCGTGTCACTCTCAGCTCTCCCCGTGTCACTCCCAACTCTCCCCGTGTCACTCCCAGCTCTCCCCGTGTCACTCCCAGCTCTCCCCGCGTCACCCCCAGCTCTCCCCGCGTCACCCCCAGCTCTCCCCGCGTCACCCCCCGCTCTCCCCGTGTACCCCAGCTCTCCCCGTGTACCCCAGCTCTCCCCGTGTCATTCCCAGCTCTCCCCGTGTCACCCAGCTCTCCCCGTGTCTCCCCGCTCTCCCGTGTCTCCCAGCTCTCCCCGTGTCTCCCAGCTCTCCCCGTGTCTCCCAGCTCTCCCCGTGTCACCCAGCTCTCCCCGTGTCACCCAGCTCTCCCCGTGTCATTCCCAGCTCTCCCGTGTCTCCCAGCTCTCCCGTGTCTCCCAGCTCTCCCGTGTCCCCTCCCCAGCTCTCCCCGTGTCCCCTCCCCAGCTCTCCCCGTGTCCCCTCCCCAGCTCTCCCCGTGTCCCCTCCCCAGCTCTCCCCGTGTCCCCTCCCCAGCTCTCCCCGTGTCCCCTCCCCAGCTCTCCCCGTGTCCCCTCCCCAGCTCTCCCCGTGTCCCCTCCCCAGCTCTCCCCGTGTCCCCTCCCCAGCTCTCCCCGTGTCCCCTCCCCAGCTCTCCCCGTGTCCCCTCCCCAGCTCTCCCCGTGTGTCTCCCATCTCTCCCCGTGTGTCTCCCAGCTCTCCCCGTGTCTCCCAGCTCTCCCCGTGTCCCTCCCCAGCTCTCGCCGTGTCCCTCCCCAGCTCTCCCCGTGTGTTCCCCAGCTCTCCCCGTGTCCCCCAGCTCTCCCCGTGTGTCCCCCAGCTCTCCCCGTGTGTCTCCCCGTGTGTCCCCCAGCTCTCCCCGTGTGTCTCCCCGTGTGTCTCCCCGTGTGTCCCCCAGCTCTCCCCGTGTCCCCCAGCTCTCCCCGTGTCCCCCAGCTCTCCCCGTGTCCCCCAGCTCTCCCCGTGTCCCCCAGCTCTCCGCGTGTCCCCCAGCTCTCCCCGTGTCTCCAGCTCTCCCCGTGTGCCCCCCCCAGCTCTCCCCGTGTGCCCCCCCCCCAGCTCTCCCCGTGTGCCCCCCCCCCAGCTCTCCCCGTGTGCCCCCCCCCCAGCTCTCCCCGTGTGCCCCCCCTCCCCAGCTCTCCCCGTGTGCCCGCGTCTCTCACCCTCCGAGAGCTCCAGCTCCAGCTCCGCGAGCTTGGCTCGCACCTCCAGCGGCAGCGCCATCACGTCCATCCCGCGCTCGGCCATCGCCACCACGACGAGCCGCGGCAGCGAGGATGTCCCCGCGTCTCGTGGCCCCGGGCCCCCCGCCGTGTCGCTGTGCCCGCCCGGCGTGTCGCTGTGCCCGCCCGGCTCTCTCGCTCGCGTCCCTCGTCCCGGCGCGGAGCGCGGAGCTGTGCCGGACCTCACTCCGGGGCGGCGGCCATCGCGCCGGTAACGTGACGTCAACACGCCCTCTACCCCCCCTCCCTCCCACCTACCTCTGCGCGTGACGTCACCACACCCCTTCCCCCCCCTCTCTCCCCTACCTCTGGGCGTGACGTCACCACGCCCCCTGTCGGTGTGACGTCATCACGCCCCCCCTATGGTCGTGACGTGACGTAACGCGTGCCGTTAATGGGCGTGATGTCTGTACGCCCCCCCCCCACCCCTTTTGCGCGTGACGTAACCACATCTACCCAATGCGCGTGGAGTCGCCACGCCACCAACCCTCCCCCCATGCGCGTGACGTCACTACGTCCGCGCAAGCAACGTCGCCACACCCCGTTCCTCCCTGCGTGACGTCATACCGCCGAGTCTCTATGCGCTCTCCTTGCGCGCATCATTTCGCGTGACGTCACCACACCCACACTCTTTTCCCGATGCGACGTCACGAAAGGTGTGCCCTGTCCGCCCGCATGACGTCATCGCGACTGCCCCCCCCCCCCCACCTCCTTCTCCCCCCCCTCCCACCCAGGTTTGGCAATGCCCCTGGGTGAGACGCTGCATCACCGTGGTCCCCACAGCAGCTGCACCAACAACAACAATAGCCGCCGGTCACCACTCAATGGCGGTGACGTCACGACGGCGCTGTGTGCCATGCTGGGTGCACTTTGATTATGCTTTCATATTTTTTAGTATAGCCCCGTAAATCGGGTGCAACCGCAACAAACAAAAAACTGAAACATGAACAAGAAAACATCTTAAAGTGACTATGCGCAAACAGAAAAATTCAGGAAAAAACTGCAAAGTCTTCCAGAAAAAGCACCGTCCACCAACGCTGTGTGCAAAAATCCCAGTGGGATGCAAGTCAAACAATAACAACAACCACAAGACAACTTAGATTAAAGCCATCAGTCTAACTCCGTACTGCAACAAACAAACATGACCAAACCAAAACACGTTTTCTAAATCACCAAAATAAAGCCATAAGCAATGTAACAGTGATCATAGGAACTGTGACCGAAATTTCACAATAACAACATGTACCACCAAACCCTGCAGCCATAGCTGGCTGCATGAGTCACTCCACAACAGCAGGAGCATCAGTAGGAGTATCACAATTGTTCAATGCACCTTTAGATCAGCACACTAAATCAAAATACAAGATCATACTTTTCAGCGGTCATCCGGAACGAAAACATTTGATTTTAGGATGCTGGTTGTAATCGCTGGCGAAAGGTCGTTTTCGAATTGTAAATGGTGTGGGGTTAGCTCTCCAACACATCCCTTGCGCTGTACGGGTCACGAATTGGCGTGTTTTGTTGACGTGACATACCTTACTAATTGGCTGTGTCGGGTGGTGGTGGGTTTAACGACGCATATTTACGCGGTCTACCCCAACAAAAAACCCCTTTGTTATAGGTGCACTTTATCCGTTCGTTCGTTTCTCAATCCGCTTAGTCCTGGTTAGGGTCGCAGCGGCAGCATGTTGAGTAGTGGCGGCCCAGACCTTTGATGCACTTTTTATTATGGATATTTGGAGTTTGCGTGTCTCTCTCCCCATGGTCGCGTGGATTTTTCTCCGGGTCCTCCGGGGTTTCCCTCCACATTTAGAAACACGCGTTTCGCGATTATTTGGCTGCTATAAATTCCCACGTGATAAGCCACTTCGTTGAGCTATCATTCGTGGCCAGGTCGCTTCTGAAAAAGAGCTGTACATCTCAGTGGGCCTTGCCTGGTTAAAACAATTAATAATTTACTTTGAGCACCTGCAGCCAGTGACTGCACAGGGTAGACCCGGAGCTGACCCGTCCCTACTGGACACCCGTGAAAAAAGAGCTTCATTGCTCATCGGATTTCTCCAGTCTAAATTCCGATTCTGCTGAATGCTCATCGGATTCCTCCAGTCCAGATTCTGATTCTGCTGGTGTTGACACACATGACGAGGCACTCACTTGCGGATGACTCGGGCACATTTTGGTCTTCAAGCCACTCCTATGGGGCAAGGCTATCACGAAGGGGCTCCCTGCGTTTCACGAACGTGGACTGAACGCACAACTTGATCGTGGCTATGAGGGGTCAACAGCAGTGGTTCTGTCTCCTTCAGCCCTATCTGTGGATGGGGCACCTGGAAGTAGTCTCGTTGAATCACTCATCCTATGATTATTATCCACGGGTAATGAATTACCAAGGGGTGTGGCCTTCCACAAGTGCCAAATGTAAATTATCTGCGGATATCCACGGCCAAGAGTAATCCATAAGTGGGTGTTTAATTCATTATCATCGCATTATCCAACACTTCCTTTGTACGGATAAGAAGAATACACCGTTTGGATAAGCATGGAAATTATAATCTTTTGCGAGCATCCACCACATCAGAATGGACAATTGTCATTGTAGTCTTGGGTTGGTGATCATGATAAGCTTCCATTAAGAGTATTTTCCCCAACAATCTTATAAAGAAGATAAAAAATAGTCTTAATTTGAAGCTTTCGTGACTGCAGGAACCCATACTCTTTGTTTTTTTCGGTAAAGTCACGTAGGTATAAAATAAATCAAAACAGTCTGCCTCAGCAGCAGATCATGCTTTCCCACCTGATGACGGACGCTTGTGTTGCGCCCGAAACGTCGTGATGTATTTTATTTTACACCTACGTGACTTTACCGAAAGAACCAAAAAGTAAAGATAAAAATAGGTTTGTCGTTTATCCACGTTTTGCACAATAACGCAAACGTATTTTAAAGCCATTTCCCAGCCTGTACATGTGTAGACTTGAAAATAATGCTGCATTTATTCATTTCCAATAGACCTGCATGCATGGGGTAGTGAACTGGAAGAGATTTAAATGAGGCTGAGATAGCTGGATTGCACAGTGACTCGTCTGTTTGCCACGAGCCAGCTTGCCATGGCGTTGACTGATTATGACAGCCAGTTATTCCTTTGCACAAATTAGATGTCAAAGTCCATTGTTATGTCGTTCACAAGATTAGGCCTTGTCATTGCCCAAAGTCCGTACGACAAAACTACGGGTGCTCAGGTCACATCTGAAAAACAGGTCATTGATAGATTATTTGGATTAAATAAAATACCCCATGATTGACATGAGACAACGGATTAACATTTCAGTGTTATTGAATTAAGGGTACAAGAATAATGTAATCGCTTTGGTGACATGTAGTTTACATACTGTAGTGTAACAGCACTATCCTCATCTGGGAATTAAAATTTGTTGCCAAAAACATAACCTTACGACAAACCATTCCAGGTTTCACTTCATGAAACGTGGAAGCTCATGAAGTATCTTTTCTGTAAAATTAAACAAATTATCTGGCAATGCTGTGTTGGCTGTGGTGCACAAACACAAAAAGAACCTCAACACATCCCTCAACAACACTGGTCTTAAGAGGATAAATAAATAGGTGACGTTTCAGGAAATGTCTCCATACCATTTGCTATGAAGAAGGCCCATTGCCTGAAATGACGTCTGTCACATATATATTTTCTTTTCAAGGCCAGAATGTCATTAATTAATGTGTTAAGGTTTTTTTCCATTACTGGGCATATGTCAAAATGAACTTGATAGCTTATGGGATTCCTCCAGTATAGATACAAATTATGATTCTGAACTTCACTTAAAAATGCATATTTAATTAAAAGATTTAAATGAAAATTAAAAAAAACCCATAAACAATATACTTTGGGGCATAAGTACGTTGCACTGAAATTTAAGTAAACTGACTTTGAAATAATTCCTTCAGATTTAAACACGTTTGACACATTCATTACCAAACATCTGGCGCTGCTGGTGTGGCAGAGACCTGGGGTGTGCGTTCCCGTTTTGAACGTGCACGGAAACGCGCTACAGCCACGTGCGGAATGAAGTTGACATCTGTTCAGGTGCTCATAGTAAGAGGCAATTAGATGCACAATTTCAAGAAAAGCGATATTACACTACGCAGATAAACAACGCACCGTGAATTTGTGAACACCTTCTTTTAATCTGAAAATTTTAATAAAACTACACAAACTATTACTGTTGACAGCATATATAGATTAATGTCGTTGTTTTTTTTACCCCTACATAGTTTTAAACATTTAAAATGTGGAATACGCTGTGCATGCATGAGATACAGCTGCGTTCCTCGGAATTAGAAATTACGATCTAAATAAATCCTATAGTAGAATAGCCCCATTCTGGTTAAATTGCACTGTTAAACTAGGCTCATTAATCTTTGCAGTTAAATAAACACGGTATTAAACACAGCGGTTCCAGTGTGCCAATGGGTGTACGGCCAAGGATAATTTAAAACATGTGTGAGTGCATTGCACAATAAGAAAAACACACTCAGCACACTCCTTATCATGTACAATATAATAATAGTAGTATGGACAATACTAGTAATCATTAATGGTATCCCAACATCTGAAATGTCACAGATAATGATCACATACCATTCTAACTTAAATCTCAACTATTTTTTTTTATTTTACCAGGTAAGGCCACTGAGCTATATAGCTCTTTGTCAGAAGCGACCTGGCCATAAATGATATAATGTGGAGATTTATATCAGTCAAATACTCTAAACGCATGTTTCTAAATGTGGAGGGGAAAGCCGGAAGACCCGAAGAAAAATCCGCGCGTCCATGGAGAGAACACGCAAACTCCAAATATACAGGCGTCAGGGTCGGGATCGAACCAGGCGAGAGAGTTAACATCTCGCCACCATGGCGACATGTAAATGATTCAAGGGTCTATCACAGGAGATGTGCTCAACACTCGTGCTTTACTGCACGTGGGCTGACAAATGTTCACACGCACCCGGCAATATGTGTATGAACATAACACTTGTATTATTTTGGTCTTATAAAACATATAATTTGTTTCCTGAGATTTGCATGAGTGTATCTCGGAGGTTTATCTCTTCTTTTAATGGCCCAATTCAAAGTTATTTTATTGTAGGAAAAATTGCATAGTTTTTTTTACTTTATGTGACCTATATATCAAAGTGAAATGATGATGGGC